AGGCAGGAAACCCTATACCATTTCGGACCAATGGCTGTCCAGTCTCTTCTTAAAAACTTCCAGTGTTGGAGCATCCACCGCTTCTGGAGGCAGGTTGTTCCACTGGTTAATTGTTCTAACTGTCAGGAAGTTTCTCCTTAGTTCTAGGTTGCTTCTCTCCTTGATTAGTTTCCATCCGTTGCTTCTTGTCCTGCCTTCAGGCGCTTTGGAGAATAGCTTGACTCCCTCTTCTTTGGGGCAGCCCCTGAGATATTGGCAGACTGCTATCATGTCCCCCCTCGTCCTTCTCTTCATTAAACTAGACATACCCAATTCCAGCAGCCGTTCCTTATATGCTTTAGCCTCCAGTCCCCTGATCATCTTTGTTGCTCTTCTCTGTACTCTTTCTAGAGTCTCAACATCTTTTTTACATCGCGGTGACCAAAACTGGATGCCGTATTCCAAGTGTGGCCTTACCAAGGCATTGTAAAGTGGTATTAACACTTCACGTGATCTTGATTCATGGAAATTCTTAGTGTAATGTCTAGAAAGGCAGAAGTGCGATGACTTTTTAACATCTGTTGCAAGTACCCACTCCTGATACTCAAGGCAGTTTTCAACCAACTCAGACGCCTACTTTGCCCCTACATTTGACACGAACAGCACCAGCACAGTCCCCAACAAGTACACAGTCAAAATTAGAGGCACCTTCACATGCTCTCTTTCTAATGTTATCTGTTTCATTCTTTGCCAGCAATGCCCTATACCCATACGCACACATACATATATGCACACATTTTTAAACAAGAGGATAACAACAATAAAAACTAAGATAAAGTAAGGAAGAAAAAGAAAGCAAAGAGCAAAATGTGCAAGAAAAGAAAAAAAAAGTTGAGGCAAAATAGAAAAGAAAAAAGATATAAAGAAATGGCTTTATATTCGTCACGGCAGTTATAAGTACAACTATATCTTAACCTCACTATCTAAAGTTACATTTTAATTCCTTTTCTATAATCTATCCTATCTAATCATCAATGCCATCAATCACGTTTTTTTATTTTTACCCAAAATATCCATAAAACATTTCCAGTCACCAATAAATGTAGATATGGTATCTTTTCTCCACCGAAATAAGTTAATTTAGCCATCTCGGCAATTTTACCAACCATTCTTCCATAGTGGGTCTGCCAAAACTTTCCATCTCTCTGTTCATATAATAATCTTGCTGCAGTACTCATATATTGAAATAATCTTCCTTTTTTTCCCTAACTGTTTATTCATTAGTCCTAAAAAGAAAAGTTCTGATTTCAGTTGAGTCTTTAAAAGCCCTCTGCATCAAAGTATGTATTTGAATACTTTTTAAAGCTTTTTTATAAGGCCACCGAGCACGATAAAATACCTCTTCATGTTGTTCACATTTCCAACCATACATTTGAAGTGCCTTTATACATTCTAGATACTTTTACTGACATATAAACCAATGATACATCATTTAAAAAAAATCTCTTTTAAGATTTTAACACAGTGTAAATTTCAGCCCTTTTAATCACATATTTTCCCATTGGTCCATCTATATATTATAGTCAAACTTCTTCGCCAACATTCTTTAACTTGTTTTTCCCGTTTCAGATTTCAGCAAAGGTTTACTTATTTATTTATTTATTTATTTATTTCCCAGCTTTATTATTTTGATAAAAATTCAAAAGGCTAACATACCTAATACACCTTTCTCTTCTTATTGTGAGTTGGACTGAGAGAGAGGGACTGACCCAAAGTCACTAGGCCTGCACCTTAACCATTAGACCAAACAGGCTTTGTAGTATACATTTTTATTTACATCTCTTTATACATTTTAGTAATTACATGTTCATCATCAGTGCACACATGTACTTTAAATTCTGTCTTACTTTGCTCTGCACCATAAATCTTTTGGTCCATTTGAATCTTTCTGATAAATGTAATTGGGAAAGCCATTGACAATTATATGCTTCCCCTATTAATTGCTCTCTTGATTTAGTTTTAAATTCCCCTTGACGGCTTTCCAATGATTTCTGATATGTCAACCATTTGTCCTCGTCTGCTGTTTCTCTTCTATAAGATGCTTCTTGAGCTATTCCATATTCCCAATACGGCATGTCGAATAAAATGATTTTAAAATCCAAATTAATTTTATTGTACCATAAATATCCATGACATCTAAACCTCAGGCTGTGACCTTCTATCTCCAAAAGTTTCTTGTTTCTCAGCAACATCCATTATTTCATCCCTATCAAATAACAAGCAGCAAAATGCAATTTCAAATATGGTAAATCCAATTCTCCTCTTTCCTTTCTTTGTTATAACACTTAATATTTGACTCATGATTTCCCCCCCCTTGCTATATGAATGTAGATGTATAATTTTGCCATTGTTTAAATGCTAAACAGATTTCAAAACAGATATTATCTGAAACAGAAGCATCATTCTTGGCCAAACATTCCTTTGTATCATAAGCATTCTCCCCAACAGTGACAGTTTTAATTTCTCCCACCTTAACATGTCCTTCTTAATTCCATTCTGTGTCTTAATATAATTATTTTCAAATAGCACCGCAACTTATATTTGTCATAATAATACCCGGGTCCTTTACTTTTTTCTCAATCTTAAAATCAGTTTTTTCTATCAGTTTATTTGGTCGTATAATTTCATATTTTTGTTAACATCTTGGTCTTCTGGTTATTACACGTAGTCTTTGACATACAACCACTTATTTAGTGATCATTTGAAGTAACAACAGCACTGAAAAAAGTGACCTATGATCATTTTCACACTTACAACAGTGGCAGCATTCCTAGGGTCATGTGACCAAGATTTGGAGGCTTGGCAACTGGCATGTACTTATGTCGGTTGCAGTATTGTGGGGTCATAACAACTTTTGCAACCTTCTGGCAAGCAAAGTCAATGGGGAAGCCAAATTTAGTTAACAACCATGTTACTAACCTAACTGTGGTAATAAAGATTATAAAAGGGGGCAAAGCTTAGTTATAAAGTGTCTTGCTTTACAATAGAATTTTGGAGTTCAATTGTGGTCACAAGTTGAGGACTACCTACAATCTGAAAACCTACTAACATGTCAAAATCCTTTAATTTCCACATTAAATTTCTATTTCGCCTAATAGATCTTGTAAAACAGAGGTCCCCACCCTCTTGGTCACCGGGCTGCATGAGTAGCTGGGCAGTGCACGCGTGAGTGTGCGCGTGCTAACCCCCCCTCGTGCCACCGTTGCGAGAGTTGTGCGGGCAGCGGCAGCACCACTAGTATCGCGCAGGTGGCACCGTTGCCAAGAACTTTGTGCCAGCGGCGGTAGCGCCGTACGCAGCAGGCAGGCTGCAGCACGAGCCTCACGCAGGGGCAGCAACGCGATCCTCGTGCCAGTGCCGGCATCGCTGCGGGCTGTGGGGCGAGCCTCACATGGGGTGGGGGCGTGATCCTTGCACATATAGCATTGCTGTGAGCCTGGCGGCGGCACCACAATCCTCACACAGGCACCAGCATCACTGAGAGCCTCGTGCGCATGCTTGTGGTCTGTTTGTGTGTATGCACATGTGGCCACATTCACATTTGCGCATGCATGCGTAAGGCGCCTGCCCCTCCCTCTCTCACCAGGCTGCCAACCCAGAAAGGTTGGAGACCCCTGTTCTAAAATCTGTACTAGCATTTCATCCTCCTTGGCATTTTGTGGCTGACCTCAAATTATCTGTTTTAGAAAAATGTGACTTTAACTGTGCCATAAAGCAAAGCATCGTTGAAGCCATAGACATAAAGTTTTCAGGCAACTCAAAGGGTCTTGGCTAACACAATCGGTTTTCAACACACTATACTTGTTGATTCAGAGATCCCCAACCCCTGGTCCGTGGACCGGTACTGGGCCGTGGCATGCCAGCAACCGGTCCGTACAAACAAGCAAAGCCCCATCTGTGGGATGCAGGCAGCCCACAAAACCACGCACCTTCTGGTCTGTGGAAAAAACTCTCTCCACGAAACCGGTCCCTGGTGCTCAAAAGGTTGGGGACCTCTGCGTTAATTGATGAAGATGACTCTGTCTCACATGTAACCTGCATCTGCATA